AAAAAATTATAATAAAAAGGTTTTAAAAGAAAGAAAAATTAATAACAATATTGATTGGCGCTTGAAACTTATTAATACTTAACGATAGCTTACGATGAGTTAAATTTCGTAAGCATTCATACTCCGATTGAAAGCAAAATACTCCGTTGCTTTTATATCATATTAATAAAAAAGGAATTTAATTCATTGTTAGCCATTTTAATTTTTGTACTTGAAAATTTTAAATTAATATTAACGAAACTCTTGTTCATTTTTATATGGTATGAATAAATTTTGAGTTTGCTCTAGATTAAATGAACTACTCACATTTTATTCCCATTTTTATGTTTATCTTATAAGTCTGGAAGAGTTTATGTAAACAAGCTTTAATACAGTATATAAATTTACACATATGTATGCATATTCCTTCAAATGTATCTTATATATAATATATTAATGAGATGTATCTTATCGAGTAACAGGAAAAATGTTTTTAATAAATGCTTTTATATTTTTTTTCTATCTTAATTTTTTCTAAAAAAACCTGTAGACAATTTCAAATATTCATAAAAAATATTCAATATTTTCTCGTCTTTTACAGTGCTCAATATTTTTAATTATTGAACAATTTCTGCTCCAAAGTATTATTCTAATAATTTTCTACAGTAATCTCTATTTTGGGATATATTTTTATTTTTTTTAACAAATCTGATAAGAAAGATTGTCATCAATAAATTTATATGTTGGAAAAGCTTAAGATTTGAAAATATTCCATTTTATTTTTGAAAATAATAAATACTATTTTAAAGTTTTACAATCTTAAGGGTCGAAATATTTTGTTAATTACTTATAATTTATTTTTTATTATTATTACTTTATAACCATTGCTGTTCCCATTTTCGAGTAATGGCTAAATAGAATGTAGGCGTTACCACTAATTGCACATGTTGTTTTTCATTTTGTTATCAGTTTTTTAACAAGAATTAATTTAATTAATAAAAGATTTTTTTATTCCGATATATTGAGATGACATTTTCGTTTTAAAACTTTTTAAAGAGATTACCCCAGTTGGGTAATTTCCAACCTGATATAATAGCTGGTCTGATAGCTGAACGTTGTGGGCATGGGCAAGCGATCAAGCGAAGAAATGCAGGGAAGTGGACTTCCTCCCTCAACTCAACGCACAGGCCTTCTGTCTGAGCTCTTACAAAGCGTTGCTTATTCGCCATTGTGTATGTGTAGTGTATTTTTAATAGCTGCTTATTTTTCTTGTTATTCAACCTTTCCCTTATGTTCCGCTGCTGTTTTTAAAAGATCTTATTAATTTCTTCTAAACGTCGCTATTCCATCGCTACATTTCAAAATTCTTTCGGTGAAATTTCAAACGAAAAAGACTTCTTCATTGGATTACATCTAGAGCAGGTAATAAACCGTTTAAGAAACAGCCAAAAAAATTATTAGCTTGTTTATGGTGGACTCAAATTTCGTTGTGCAGATATTTAAATAAATTTTACACAATTTTTTGTCAATGTGATAGATTCAAAAATATATAATAGGGACTTTTAAAAAGCACATAGAAGAGTGACACAAGAATTTCAACTTTTCAATGCAACTTTCTTCAAAACTAATGACGGGGAAAAAATGGATAAACGTCAAAATAATTCCAAAAATTGAAACATTTGAAATGTTAAACCCTTAAGAAATTCATTATAGAGCGAAACTATTCCGTAGTATGGAAAATATTTTAAATGATATTTATAATTTTGATTAAAAATTTAATAGGTAGAAATGGGCAGTTAGAAATTTCCATTGTCTCGAGATTTTACATATCTAGTTATTTATTAATTTTTTAAAGCAATTGAGTAGGGGAGAGTGGGGTCAATTGTAACAGGGTACGCTTGTAACAGAGCAAAAATTTGGAGTGCCGGGATTCCTAGATTTGGTTCCCAGGTGGCGCACAAGGTGTATTTAATAAATCTACATGTACACCCCTGCTGGCAACCATTTTTATGTACTTTTGAAGGAGTTACATCACAAAAGATATTTTCATGCTACGTAAGTACTTTTTTTGGTATTAGAATATTATATTGAAACAAAGTAATTTTGTTTAAACAAATAAAAATTATTAACCGAATATGTAAGTGGACACCTTAATTAACATTTCAAAAAAAAATAAAGATTAGCTTTGTTAATTAACTAGCATTGTTTTTAACAAATGAAGCTGAAATGGCGTCTTGGGGACGATTGTAACAATAAGTAAAGGGATGATTGTGACAGCTGAAATCTCTATTTAATTTCTTGTGTAGCAATTGTTTAACCCCTTAGATCCCATTTCTTATGTTTGCAAACCATTACTTAACTCTTTAAAAACCACCAATAGTTTTCTATATCATTTATATTATGTTGCATGTGCATTATTTTATTTGTCACCTTGCACAGCATAAATTAAAATTTTTAACCCCTTAAAGTTGAAAGTTTAACCCTTTAGGTCTCTGCTCATTATTATTTTTACTCCTGAAATATCACTAATATTCTGCTCAATTAAGAAATATATCACAACTATGATAATATGTATAATTAACTATGTTTTAGTTGAATTTATGAACTGTTACAATTGACCCCGTAAGAGGGGACAATTGTAACAAGTGCACGACTGTCAAAAATTGTTAATAACTAATATAATAAAATTTAAAATAAGGTATTTATTTTTTTTCTAGTAGAGGATAGTCTACTTTACTCGTCTGTCAATTAGTACTAATGATATATTGGATTTTTTGTTAGTTAAAAGTAGTTAAGTAAAAAATGTTACAATTGACCCCACTCTCCCCCACTGTTGCAATTACAATTTCCTACTATACTACTGCAATATGATAAAAAGAAATGTGCAGCTTGGTATATAGTGAGTTATTGTTTATTGAGAGCTTATTGATGGATCCACCGACGATTCACTATATAATGAGGGTTCTGCTGTGTTTAATTCATTATTGTCTCCTCCTAAAGAACAGGAAGTGAGCGGTGTAGGCGTAATCCCATTTTACAAATAACCTTCTTAGAAAGAAACCGAAACATAGAATCTTTTTAGGTATTAAATTCGATATCCCCCCACCCCCTGCAAAAAAAATAATGATGAACTTAGCATTTAAATCGCGACTGTCACTCTATTTTAGAGCTTATATTGATTTCATGAACTGATTTAAGCATTCGTGTTATGACTTGAGAGGATAGATTTTCAAACTTTGAGTACCCTTACCTAAACTAGGAAGAAATAAATATTTTACCACTTTTTTTATTGAAAAAGAATTATTAATAAATTTAAAATTTAAATTATATTTGTATATATCGTAGATTTCAGTTTCTGGAAATCGCCGAGGGCTGGGATTCTTCCTTGGCCTTTGGCGAATGAAATGAAGATAATAATTGTTAAAGTGATTAAATCGTCGTAAAGTTGTTACGGAAGAAAGTTTTAGAATTGCTTTGAAGTTAAATTATAATTGGGTGCTAGCATTCTAAGTAGAAAACCAATATCCACACATGTGACCTATGAAGTCGACACCAGTTAATCTTTATCAGCAATGTGGAGTATTAAAGATAAGCCAAGTTTCTCTACTTAACTTAAAATGTTAAATTAATTAAATACGTAGCCGTATAGCGCATCTAATTTGTTGAAATATAATTCTTTCCAGTCTACTTTTTTTTTTTTACCGAAGTTAGATTTTTTTATTTGTTTACATATTTTATCGGAACCGTGATCTCTTTTGTGTACCTGGTATTTTCGATGAATGATAAGTTTGTTTACATTCTATTTGGATTCGTACTTGTCTTTGTGTAAATTCCAAAATAGACTCTCCGTTTATCACATCCACATTCCCCGATTCGCCAGTTTTCTTTATGACTGTTTCGTCTTTTATGTTTCTGTCAACCGAATTTCTCTTTATGTGCTTCTCTATGCTCTCCATTTTGATACGGAAATATTTCATTTCATCTGTCATTTCAATCATTTTAAGAGAAATGAGATCCATTCTTTTCTCCATGAGATCCATTCTTTTCTCCATGAGATCCATCTTTTTCTCCATTGTATTATCACCAATTTTTGTCATGCTCTGTTCCATCTCTAATTCGTCAATATCAGTCGGTTTCATACCGCACTCATTCTCTGATTTGATGCTCTTGACGTAAAGAGTATCAGACATCAGAGTCATCATCTCTGCTCCTGCCATACTTTGCTCATCCGTAGATTTATCTACAACAATCTCACTCATTTTGGATTCATAATCAGTTTTTGGCGTCTGTGGCTTTTCTGCATCAATATTTTCTAAGATAGCAGCAGCTTCATCTACTGATGAATGCTCAATACGGAGCGTAGGCTCAGTGCTGTTCGTTGGAGGTGTGTGTTTAGCATCTATGTTCTCATGAAAGCTGTCATCATCTTTGTGGAAAAAGTCATGCATCAAAGCTTCACAAGCTGGTAGTCTGTGTGACGCGTCAAAAGTTAAAAACTCTTTCATGAATCGGAGAGCAAGTTTCATATCTGTCTCACGCAGGTCATCAGCACTGAAGAATTTTGTTATTGGCCACAGTAATTCATTTTCCTACAAAGAAAGTGTAGCTATTATACATTTAGATATAATTATAGTTGTTAGAAGTTCAATTTACTTTAGTTCTAAATTTGGGAAAGTCCTATGAACTTCTTGTTATATTTGTCCGATAATTTATCACATCACATTACATATCCTTGCTGAGTGAGTTGAAAGAAAGATAAGTTTGTTTTTCAGACAAACAGATAGGTATATTCCGAGTAAAATAGCTAAAGTGGTTAAGTAAATGCCAGGTTACTTAGTTTACGATGCTTAATCGTGGAAGAAAATCGTGAATTTACAATTAGTTAGATCGGGTTATCAATGACTTAACTATGTAAATATGCATACACTAATTTGATGATCTTGAAGTCAGAAATTGTCAGAATTGACAAAAAAAATTTCGAGTATGTGACATCAAAAGACAGCTTTCAGGCACCTTTTTTTTTAATCCTCGTGTAATTATGATACAAATACATTACATCACAATTTTGATATACTATGTAGGGAATGACTCGCCCGTTTTGGTCACAGCGCTACCCTCATGCGAAGTCGAGCTGTTTATACAGTTGAACAGTTTAACGAGGACCATTACAGCACTCCCTCCATCTTTTCGCAGACTAGTCAAAGTGGTTACCCATTCGCGACATGGGTGATCTACTGGGAACTATGTCTTACTGTCTGTCCGCTGTGAGACTATACATTATGAAATAAAACTATACCTCTAATAGGTTAAGTACTGTAGTATACATTTCTTTTCTCTCGTCCATGGATGCCGCATTTGTTATGGCGAAACAACCTAGTAGTTCCATAGCCAGACAACCGAACGCCCACATGTCTATGCTAGTTCCATCAAGGTTTTCTCTCCCTTTGGACAAGACAACTTCAGGTGGTTGGTATACCAGTGGCATGCCAATTTGGTGTCTACAACAAGAAAATTTGTCTGGTTAATAAATAAAGTGCATTTTTTAAAAACTTTACAGTGCTAAATTAAGTTAAAATAGCTAGATTGTAATATTAAAACTAAGAAGAAATTCTATAAAATTAATCTTGAATGTTTTTTACAATTAAATTAACTTTTTTACCCTTGCTGAAAGATCTCTTTTATAGCAATTACGAATCAAAATCAGAAGTTCAGTTTTAAAGACATTTAGAGCTTATTGATAAGAGTTTAAACAAATGCACCAAAAAAACAACAACACGAAATGAAAATTCATAAAAGTTGAAATCTCCGCAAGTGTTGCAGAACTTTTTTAACAACTTAATATTATAGTAACAAAAAAAAATCATCTAATTTTACTGAAATGCATAAAAATCCTCGAAGTTCAAGTGAACTTTTTACGATAAATTTTTTTTTGTTGCCCCATTTCCAAAAGCTGTAAAAAACCTAGTACCATTGAAGCTATATTAGACATCTATTTTAGTAAGTTAAGTACCTATTACAATAGTATGTATAACCAAAGTATTCATTTAACTGAGCACCACTGGTGTCAGTAATAAATTGGGGTAGACTATATTTGAGGGTGCCCCTTGATTCTCGCCAAGTTGTGATCGCGATTGATCGCCAAGCTGGGCGAAGTTGAAACCCAATCGTGATTCTGAGTGGTTTAGATTTTAGCGTTATTTTTAAATGTTCAACGGTATATGTAATTTCAGTGGTCCGTTAGTTCTACGTTGGATACCGGCTGGCAATGTTACTTTTGAATCTGGTCAATAAGATCGAAGGTATGCGGTCAGTCATGAAAAGGGATTTAAGAAAAAAATGTCACCGCTAGTCCGGTATTACAAACGCCATTTTCGATTCGTATTTCTTCGAATTTATTTAGCGATGGAGGTACACAGATTCTATTCATGACAAATTTAGACAGTATCTAACTGTTATTACATAATTCTGTGCACCTAAATCTAAGAATATTCAAGCTTCATGAAGAAGTGGGTTGTTTTTTTTCCTTTTCTTTCTGCACCTACTCCATTAATTTCCCCTTCGATTCAAAATCCTTTTTATTGCGTTTATTAATTTTGCTTATATTGGGTTCATTGCAAGTTTTGGCCAATGTTTTGTTGAAATTTTTCATTGTTTTATTGAAATATCATTATGTTTTGGCAGAATTCCTGTTACCACGGTGTTCCGCGCAAACAGGAATAGCGCGAAACATAAGTCGCCAATTTCGGCAAGGGGCACCCACAAGTATATTTTTCCCATAAATTGGCAGAGTAGTTTGTTTTAAATGCTTCCGGAAATGCAATACCTTTTTTGTTTTCCCCTTTTATGAAGCAAAGCAGTGGTATTTTAGTTTCTGTACAATCTTGCTTTGAGGGTGAGGCATAAAAACCTCTATTCATAGTTCCTAAAACTGTAATAGCGGAGATGCAAACTTGCACCGCTTTAAGAAAATAGTTCTTCCAGTGCTAAACATTTTCTTTTATTCGAGTGTTAATAAATTTCATTTTAAAGTTAAGTTGCCTACCACGACATTTAACAGTATCCATTCAACCTCAAATCATTAAGTTGTAAATAATGAATTAAAGCATAACATTATTTATAATCTTTAGTTTAGAAAATAATTATTTCAAAATACAGGTGTTGTTATTTATAAACATAACACGATTCTTTTTTAAACATTCAATTTTAAATGCTCTTGGAATCTCGTATACGTTACTAGTTAAAATAAATAATTATGTAGAACTAATTTTGAATACTTATATATATAAATTATAAATAATTCAGTCTAAATCAAGGAAATCGTTTGAATATTCTTAAATAATGTTTGTTAAATTTTTAAAAAATTAAAAATAAAAATTAAACTCAAATTAGTGTTTATATCAAAAATTTTTTTTTTTTTCAATTATGAGCCTGCCACAGCAGAATAATCATCTCTCTCTTTTAAAATACATTTGATAGCAGAAATAATGAAATTCTTTCATTTATGAAATAATAACTAAAAAACTAAATGCGTACTTGTGGAGAGGTTTTTTAGACTCCTTCAAGAATGTGAAATCGCACAGGAGTGCCGAATTTTCATCTGATATGAGAACGTTGTCCAGTTTAATATCAAGATGGCAAGCTCCATTAGAATGGAGATAGTCCAGTCCTTGGAGAACGTCTTTCAGCCAAGACTTCACGATATTGTAGGCTCCCTTACATGGATTCAAGCCTTGAATGGCGTCAAGCAATGTGGTTGGATAAACTGGCATCAAGAAGACAAAGGTTTTTTGTCTCTCCAATTTGTGCATACCTATCAAGGAGACTAAGTTGGGATGTCTCAGATTTTTCCACAACTCAGATTCGGCTTTTGACACCATCTCGTAGGGCACTATCTTTACTGCCAGCTCAGATTTGTTCAAGGGCTCTATCATTCTGAACACTTGTCCAAAGGAGCCTGATCCAATATAGCCAAGGCTAGTATATTTTCTCTCTCTTTGCAATATTCCAATTGCTTCTTTGACACGTTCAGCACGTTTATCATGTGAAGTTTTTTTCACACCTCTCCACATTTTAAATCTTATATTAAATAAATACGCTTTTTCTAAATTTATTTGAATTCACAGCATTTGATTTCAAACAGCTCAAATGATCAAGATAGAACAAATTATAATAATAAGAGAATTTCATTGTTGTCTTAAATGCACACAAGATTTGTAAAACGAATCATTTTGATTATTGGACAACCATTGTTGAAATATTTTTTGGCATAGCATTAAATAGCATTGTTGCAATTGCTTTTGAAATTAACATTAGAGTTTATATAATTTTTTTAGGTTTGGGCTATTGCCTCTAATACTTTCTTTAAACTCCTTATAAACTTTCTATATAGCTACACGTTTCTGTACTAGTTTTTTTATGATAAAATTAATAGTAATTAATAGTGACTTCCCAAAACGAAAATTACTAATTCTAAATTAGTAATTTTAAATACACTTATAAATAAAATGAATCACACTTATAAATAGCATGAACGTAAAATCCAGTACAGGTAACACATTTTCATACCTTGTGAAAAGGCAAGCATGATCATTTACAAGTGAATTCGTAGTAAAACATATCCTTGTTAGCAACATATTTGTTGATTATATACAGTTCAATTGCTTGGTAGCCAATTTATTATTAATTAGTATATTTGTATTAAAACCATTAATGTAAATGGGAAAAATAAATACTCAACAGTTGAAGTGCCTTTTATAATCTTAGTCGTTAATTAATTATTAACTGAGTGAAAGAGTTAAGGGCTCAGTCTGAATCCAAAAGTTTGCAAGTATAAGTGCATGTAAAGAAAAAAAAAACATACTCTACAGTTATGATTTTGAAATTGTTGAGTCAGTTGCCGATTGTTTACTAGGGTATTTGAGTTAAATCTATAAATGTATATGAGCAGGTGGGTAAAAAAATAAATATTCAACAGTTATAATGTTTCTGATACTGTTGAGTTGTCCCATATTTATTAACTAAGGTGTTTGGATTAAATCCATACATGTATATGTGCAGAACTAAAAAATATAAATGTTGTTGTTGTAGGCCATTAAGGCATCTATAACCTTTCCAAGTATTGCCCTCTACGGTGGAGAATTCGACTTCTGCCACATCCATACGTCACACCCGTTTTTTAAGGCAGCCTCATTCATACATCCACAGATCGTAATTTTGACCTGAATAAAAAGATATATGCATATATCTAAATACTCAACATATATAATATCCCCTATAATGTTGGTTATCTTTCTTCTTATATTATTTAAACTGCGAATGATTAGGATTATAACGCTAGATAGCTCCATGAAGTATGAACTGTAGCTAAAACCATAATTCTGGATTGTTCACTTCAGGACAAAGCTAAGAGAATAGAAGGGCTGGTTCACTCCTTTGAAGAAACTCTTGCAGTGCCAAACCTCTGATTTTCACCAGTAACGTCACGGTGGAGCAAAGCTTGCACTTTTACTCCAAGAACGGAGCGTTCGGTCTAACTACCTCTAACTAATATTGGAGCATTCCTTTTTGTGACATATTCCAAGACATTTGTTGTTTTCTATAATGACTTTCCTTTGTTTTTTGAAAGTGAATTACAATAACTTAAAAGTATTAACGAAATGCCGGTTTTCCCGATTGCAACTTGCACAAATTCTGATAGAGACACAAGAGGAAAAAATATTATTTTCCACCTGTTCTCTAACGTAAATGTACAACTATGTAAAGAATGGATTAGACGTTGCTAACGAAATGACACAGTTTATATAAAACAACAATACGTTTATTGTATCGTTTAAGAACTTTTATAAAAATTCGCCATCTAAATAAAAACCGCCTCGTTACTTCAAAAAGAAAGGCAGGCGAAGAAATTAAAAAATGGATAAAGTCAAAAAAATTGAAACGTAAATGAAAAGTATAAATAAATATATAGTATATAGTTAAAACTCTCCTAATTTCATTACATATTTTTTAATGTAGTTATTCTAAATATTTATGATATTTTTTAATTATATTCTCTTGAATTTAAATATCTATAAATTATATTATCTTTAACTTAAATATCTATAAATTATATTATCTTAAATTTCAATATCTATAAATTATATTATCTTAAACTTAAATATCAATAAATTATATTATCTTAAATTTCAATATCTACAAATTATATTATCTTAAATTGAAATATCAATAAATTATATTATCTTAAATTTAAATATCTGTAAACAATTGTAAAATTTCTAATATTGTTATGAACCTAAATTATTATTTTGTTTAAGTAATTAGCGTTAAAGGTTGTTGTTCCCTAATGATTAAGTATGAACAAAATGCTATTAACAGCATATTTTAAAATTAGGATTCTAAATTTAATCCAACTTATTGTTATCAAACAATATGTATATAAGAAAGTGTCGATATATGCTTCTATTTTTCTTAATAAAAGTCAAAACTAAACTTTTTAAAATAAAGTATTTATAGTGTCATTTTCGCCAACTAGTAAAATATTTTAATGAGTTCAAAATTGTATCTTTTTAATATAATGGTCAAGAAAGTTTTTTTTAATTATGTTTTTGGGCGAAAATAATGTGTTAATTCTGTAAAGTTTGAAAGCTAATATCAAGAAAAGTCGAACTTTTTTTTTACAGAGAGAATGAGGCAAAGCTTTTATAATCTTTTTGTTTGCGATCTCCGTATGTAATTTAATGATGAATGGGATAGGGGCCGCTCAGCGGCCCAGTTTATTTAAATAAAGTAAAGCAAGCTTGCGATCTCCGAGATTTGAGTGCGGCGTGACGTCATGACGTATCTTCAGCTCTAAGAGAGGAATGAATCAGCCCTTCTCTCTTTTCTTTATCCCTGACTTCAGGAAAAGGTTATGATAGATAGTAACGCCTACTTTTTACTTCCCAATGCTCTTGTTCGAATTGCGAACAGCATTTGGCAATCAAAAGGCATCTAGAATTTTCATCAAATCAAAAAAAAAAAAAAAAAGCAGTTGATACCTGTAGCTCTCGTTAAATTTAAAAAAAATTTAATTTGTGTTTGTGACGCGTATTGTTTTACTTAGTAATATCGTAACCACACCTCAAATGAGGATTTGAATTTAGGTTGGCGTATTCTTCTTCCCTGAGAATATATAGTTCAGCGGATATATTTCTACCTTTATCTTCTCGCCTCCACCGTCTTTTGAAAGGCAGCGAAAGCTAGTCTTGATTTCCTATGTTGAAATTAACATCGAACTCGAAGAAAAATTAGCAAATAATAATTTATATAAATATAAAAATAAACAACAAAAACTGATAAGACTAGTATTTCATTCTTGCTTATTTTCGGGAAAAGTGAAATGCTCATGATTACAGAGATTTTTTAACAGTTTTAAAACATACATAGAGAACTATTTAACTCCCGAGAAATGACAATAGGGGTGATTAGTTTATAATTAAGAAAACACTATATTTCTCCATGGCAGCAGCCAACGCTTTTTCTATGATTAAGTTCTCTGCTCATTATTTGCTTGCATTTTGTTATTTCAAAGAACATTTTTCAGCATTTGAAATTTCATAGTTTTCTTCAACCTTCTGCGCACTCAATTTTTTCTTAACATTTTAAATTATTAATAGAGGTTACTGTTGTCTGGTCCAAGTAGTGCAGAGGGATTAAATAGCACCGAAGGCGCCCAAAAGAACAAACTAAAACCTTTTTCGAATAGAGCAGTTGATAGTCAGTGGGGTTTGGGTCTATGTTGTAGAGTTTAGTTGGTGTAGAGGAGGACAATTTAAAATATGATCTGGAGAAAGTTGGACTTCACGATAGTCAGGACAAGTATTGTAACTTCTTTGGCTATCCAGGGAATAGTCTGGTTATAGTAGTTGTAATTAAGTTCTGGAATAGAATTATTCTTAGGCGTTTTGGGAGGTGAGTTTATGTCTGTCTATTGCATCAGCATCAATAAAGGTAAGACGGTCAAATCCTAGAATAGCCCAACTTTTGGCAACTTTTTGAAATCTCGCCAAGTTGGAGATTAGTACTGGAATCAACGTTGCGTTTTTTATTATTAAAGAAAAACAATTTAAATTACTATAAATTTATTGAAATATTTTAAATAGAACGCAAAACATTATATATACTTAATTTACTCATAGAAAACCACGTATATCCCATAGCACTCCGACAAGCATCATGCGCAGCATCATCATGACAAGCGTCATCAGTCAATCCACGCTTTCAACATCTCCATTCAAGACTCCACATTTAAGGTAGACTTAATGTTAAAGCTTAAAATAATTAATAATTAACAAGCGCAGACGATTGGGAAGCGCAGACGATTAGGATTTTTTATTTAATTACAAGAATTTTTTGTCAGTAAAAAATAATAAGGTGTTTTCAAAACAATTCATGCTAATTTACAGCAAAAAACGATTTTTTTTCATCACAATCTTTTTCCTCATAATATTCCGTATCATATAAAAATATCCTTTTAATATAAAAATATCAAGACTGCATTTTTTATTTTTGTCATTAAAGGAATAACAATATTTTGTAACCATAATATTCCTCACTTCAATCATTCAATAAAAAAAATCGAGAATTTCTTTTTTTTTTCTGCTTCTGAAAAACGAAAACAAGAAGGTGCTTTTAGCCAAAACATTTCAAGATAATTTACAGCAACAGAAAAAAATAAATAAATAAAATAAAAACAAGTGCTTTTTCATTTCAATCTTTTTGCTCATAAATTTAAATACCATTTGCATACCTGCCAACTTTTAATAACTTCCGTTATGATTTTCCCCAGTGGTATTAAAATGGAATAAAAATTTCTATTTTAAGCAAAAAAATACGTTGTATTTGAAAAAGCTTAAGCTGCCTACCATGATGGTAACACATATTAATATATATGCTTAATTTTCTTAAGAATAGTGGTGATGAAAATCATTTAAAAATTTAGTTTAAAAGAAAAAATAGTATATATTTACTACCACTTTAAATACATAAATAAAATTTTACGCCAAATGCGTAAAAGTTGGCAGGTATGCAT